TTGGGAAATACAGGGTTAATTTAATTTCATACTCTATAAATATTTTATTTTTTAGCATATTGCAATTGTAAAAATTTGAATTAGTTCTAAAATCAAATTTTTAAAAACATCTAAACTATAAATAAACTAACAAAAACTATGCAATATCTTAATGTGTCTGTGTCTATGATTAAAGAAAGACTACAGCAACATATCTGTTCCGGTAGATAAAAAAATGCATTAGCAAAAAAATCTCATTTCCGAAAACGGCCAGACAAAAAATTGTCTACTCTTAGCACAACAATAAGAAAATAATTACATATTTATTATACAATTTCACTGTTAACACATTAACACAATAATTACACATTTATTATATAATTTCATTATTAACATGCATCTGGCACATGCAAGGTGAGAAATCTTTTTATCTCGTTTGTATTCTAGATATAAAAATTGCTCTCAAGATTATCGTATCTAAGTTGAATACATCTGTTAAACAAACAACATCACACTATATTGTTGCTGTTTTTCTCTCCCAGACAGAATGTTTTTCATGCATATGAACAGCCCCTTAGAACAATGTTATATATTTGGTTTTTTTTTTTTTATTTTAATTCACCTCCTCAAGGCCGAGAAGGCCACTATCAATAGAATATCACAATATTCTATCGATACATTTTTTTGAATATTTCGGTACAAAATTAAGTATTTAGAATTTGTTTCAAACTTACCAAAACAAAAATAATAGGGTTTCGAAAATTTTTTTTAATCGAAAACTCAACTTTTACAAAAGTGACCAATTTAAACAATACCAATTTAAACAATGTATAAAATTTTATCAGAGGTGTCCGGTAAGGAAATTAAACTGGTTTTTTTGATACTATTTGTCTAACTTACGTTACCTTGCGATTGTTATTGTAGATTATTATTTCGAGTTAGAGTTATGTAACAAAACAATTTCAAAGGTATTGAATTTATTCATTAAAAATAACTAACAAAGGAAATTTTAAAAAACACTCTTCCTAAGTGATTTTTCATAGCATTTGTAAAATTTATCAAATCGAAAACAGTTTTTCCAAAAGACCAAGAACAACTTTGAAAAATTATTTTAGTATTACAACTTTTTAATACTTATTTGAGTCATTTAAGTTAAAAAATTTTTGGTTTGTTGAAGTTTTTACTTTTTAAATCAAATCAAATCAAATATATTCTGAATATAGTTGTTATATATATCAAGGATATTTACAAATAGTAATTTGTACTAATATGAAGTAAATACTTGTCAGACTAAATAAAAATAAAATTGATATATTAATAATAATTATAATACAAGTAGGAATAATAAAGTAATAGTAATAATTATAGTAATAAAAAAAATAATAGTAGCGATTATAAAAAGTATATACTATAATAATAATAATAATAATAAAAATAATAATAATATTAGCAATAATAACAATAATAATAATAATAATACTATTAAAAATAATAATAATAATAGTAACAATAACAACAACAATAATAATATAAAAGTAATAGTATAAATAATAATTATAATAATAATAACAACAAAAATAATAACAACAATAATAACAACAACAATAATAATAATATTCATTATGATAAAAATATAGTAATAATAACAACAATAGTGATAAAGAGAATACTATTGAAACATTTCAGTTTAAATAATAAATTTAATAAATGATATTAAAATTAGTAATATACCACAATAGAAAAGAGAAAAAATAATAGATGAATAGAAGCTCCGCATTAGGGTTATAAATAATAAGTTATAAAAAGATATAAAGATTTATAAACAATATTTTTCTAAAAAATGGTTAAAGAAAGCAGTTTTAAATTTTGAGAACGATTTAAGATATTCTATTTGGGAAGGAAGATTGTTCCAGGTTCGTATGCTTTTATGTTGTATGGATTTGTAGCTGTAATGAACAGTTCGGTATTTAGGTACAGATAATTTAAAGATGAAAGCAGATAGGAGAATATATTGACAATTTTGCCTATAAATAAAAAATTTGATAAATGTAAGAGGTAGGTTATTATGATTTTGGTTCCAAACAAATAGTTTCATGATTATGTTTATGCGTATTGACTTATTTTCATTAGGTTGAATTTTTAAAATGCTGCAAAATATTTACATTTAAATCTTTTAAAATATTTTTATAAAAAAATTGCTATCACAGTTAAGGAGGGAGAAGGATTCAGCAACAACAATTTAAACATGTTAGCTCCATTTTCATGCTAATTTAATTCTGATTATACAAATAAATTCATGGTTAGAAAAATATTTTAAAATGATACCTTTTTTATCATGCGACAATGAGAAATACCGTAACTTTCGGAGGCATAAAAATGACTTAAGTTAATTTTAGTATTAAAGATATATTTTAAATAAACTTACAAGTGTCTACATCAATATCATTTTATATATATATATATATATATATATATATATATATATATATATATATTTATATATATATATATATATATATATATATATATATATATATATATATATATATATATATATATATATATATATATGTAGGGCTTCTCATTTTCCATAAAAATCTAATTCCCAGGATTCCGGGACAATTATGATTAATTTCACGGGATCCCGGGATTAAGTAACAAGCAAGAATTTATCAAACTAGTTGGGGGGGGGGGGGAGGATGTGTAAGTTCAAATAAATACAAAAAAAAGGGGTTTAAAGAAAATTATTTTTAACAAGAAAATAAAGACAAAATAATTTTTAGAAACTAAGACTCTCAAAATAAAACAAATATAAACTTCAATAACATATTTTATATATATATTAATTTTTAAAATAATTTTTTAAAAAACATAAATTGTCAATAACGCTATCACTTAATCTGACCGAATTTTCGTAATAAAAAGACCTGCTGCAGAAAAAGCTCTTTCTGAATCGATTGAAGTTGGTGGGATAGTTAATAGAGCATTATATAATTTGTCTAAATTATTTGTATGCATCAAAAATATTCATTTCTATTGTAATATTTTTAACGTCATATAACACATCTTCTGGACTCTCAATTTGACTAACGTTTGTAATGGCAGCTTCCAATTTTTGACGAAGTGTTGTTTCAGATGTTGTCTAATTGACATTTCAGTCCTGTCATAACCAGGCTTGTGGAGCCGAGGGGCTGAGCCGAGGGACCAGGAGGGGCTGTTTTTTGGTGGGACCGGAGCTGGAGCCGGAGCCGCAAAAATTGAGCGGCTCTCAGCTTTCGTGTTTTTTTTAACCGAATAGAATGTATGTTTATTTTTTTACTGTAGACAAACTTTATTCATTTATTATTAAACTAATTTGTTAAATGAATTATTTATTGAACTTCTATTTTTTTTAAATATTTTTTTCTAACAGTTACGGTTATGCCAAAACTTAATAAAAATGAATATTTTAACAATTTTGGGCTCAACAAAATACTATCCTTTAATAAAATTTCTTAATATTCTTTATTAAAAAAAAAGGAAATTATAAATGGAAACATTACAGTGATGCACATATTGCTTTATATTATATTTTTATACTGATACTATGTTGTTAACGATTTAATGCGCGATTTAATGATCAAAGTTATTGATATCTTTAAAGTTAAACTAAAGCATACGATCGTTTAATTTGGAACAATAATTTCATTTAAAACTTGTCACTAACACATTATTAAATTATTTTTTTCGCATAATTACATAAAGTAATTATGGTACTAATTAAAAACATCAACAAACAAATCAAAATGTTGCTCTTAATTAAAATATCATTGAAACATTTAGAAAAACGAAAAAAAATTCTGCACAACTATTTACAAAGTCCCTCTACATTGTTAATTTCAATTGCTAAATCATCTGAATCTAGCAAAACTACTGTTTGCATTGTCATAAAACAATGCAAGAGCTCTCTATCTATCAAACAAGCAAAAGGATCTGGGTGAAAGAGTAGCTTTAAGGATAAGAAAACCGCAATTAGTATTCGACAATCATTCACGCAAAACCCTGGCTTATCAAATAGAGTGCGAGCCAAAGGATATAAAGTTTTTTAAAGAAGAAAAATTGGCAAGCAATATGTAGCTGCAGCTTTTATTAACTTATGTTACATGAAAATTGCATTAGTTCTTTCGTTTTTTTCTTGAAATGTATATATTTTATAAAGTATAAAATCTGACCAACAATTTGAAATATTAGCTCCAATTTCATGCTAAGTTAATTTCAATTATGCAAATAAATTCATGGTTAAAATAAAATTTCAAAATGACACTTTTTTTATCATGCGACAATAAAAAAAACCATAACTTTTGAAAGCATAAAAATGACTCAAATAAATTAATTTTAGTACTAAAGGTGTATTTGAAATAAACTTTCATGTGTCTACATCAATGTTCGTTTGCTATAAGTTTACGAACAGTATTTAACAAAATTTTACTACTTTTTAATTTTCCGTTGTTGAATTGCATATATATATATATATATATATATATATATATATATATATATATATATATATATACATATATATATATATATATATATATATATATATATATATATATATATATATATATATATATATATATATATATATATATATATATATATATATATATATATATAGATAGATAGATAGATATATAGATAGATAGATATATAGATAGATAGATAGATATATAGATAGATAGATATATAGATAGATAGATAGATATATATATATATATATATAAATATATATATATATATATATATATATATATATATATATATATATATATATATATATATATATATATATATATATATATATATATATATATAGAGAGAGAGAGAGAGAGAGAGAGAGAGAGAGAGAGAGAGAGAGAGAGAGAGAGAGAGAGAGAGAGAGATAAAGAGATATATAAACTATTTGTATGACCTATCAAAACATATATATTTACATGTTTTGATAATTTTGTATAAAGATTTTTTATTTTCTATTTTTATAGATGATGCATCATTTATGTTTTCTGGTTATTGTGATTATTCTGATTATCGTGATTATTCTGATTATGTGATTATCGAAAGTTTTCAATCGTCTTTTTCACCATTCAGAGGTATATAAAATATTTAAGTCTGATTAGACCATCATTAGAGGTAAAGTTTTATGTCTGAAAACAGTGTGAGCTAGTTATCATATATTGAGCAACTTAATAATAGTATTAACGTTCATTTGTGCGTGTTTGAACAGAACTCGGTGGTAGCCATTAAACACGAGTTAATGGCAAGAAAGAGTCTCTTGTTTTAATAAGAAAATGAAAACAAAAGTGCATGCAAGTATCTAACTCATGTAAGTTTAAAGTTATGAAAATGCTAAAGTTTAATTTAGGTTTTTAGTTTTACTTTTCAAGTTTTCTACATCTAAGTTGAGTTCACATAAGAAAAAGGAATATTTAGTATGTATTTTTATAGAATATAATATCTATAGAATTATAAAATTGTTTTGTGGTTGTTTGGTTCCCAAACTAGCAAAAGTTCAACATCGTAAAGTTTTATAAGTTATTTAAAAGATAAGTTGATTTTCATAAAAGTAAAAAAATCAACACAAATGTGAATATTATGCTTCTCTGATACCCAACAAATTTTCATGCTGCTAGGTCAGTAAAATGATTAAGTCATACCATGTAGAATTATAAAGTTAATGACGACATCTTAAAACTAAAAATTAGTTTATTCCTAATTGTCTTTTATATATATATATATATATATATATATATATATATATATATATATATATATATATATATATATATATATATATATATATATATATTTATATATATATATGTATATATATATATATGTATATATATATATATATATATATATATATATATATATATATATATATATATATATATATATATATATGTATATATATATATATATATTTATAATGGCCTTGGCAGAAATGGTGGAGGATTGCCTCCACGCTCGTGTAAGTCAGTTTACAAAGGCAAAATAAAGCCTGTATAAAATATAATTATTTTTTTTTCAAATTAAAATTTTTTTATTAAATGCAATAATGATTCTTAGGCTACATAGTATTTTACTTTACATGAACAAAAATAGTCAAAAACATCTAGTTAATTTAAAATAAAAAATTGTTTTAATTAGTATTACTTAATTTGAATAATAATAAAAAAAGCAAATAAATATTTTTTTGATATTACATATTTATGAGCGGCTTAAAATTTAAAAAGTTCATTATAAAAGATTTTTTTTTTATAACCTATAAATTAAAATCAATATATAAAGATTACATGGAAATATATGAAGTGTAAAGTTGTACTTTTTTTCATTTAGTTATAGTCTCGGTACTTATGCAGATAATTGAAATTTCTGCATCAAGCTTAGCTTTGAAACTGTTAACACATACAATGTCTAATAGTAATACGTTCCAATGATTCAATACTTGTTTTGTAAAAAACTGATACCTTTCTATCAATTTTTTGCATATTCTGCAGTCCTCTAGTTTTTATTGGATTTGCCAGCCCAATACAAAAATCATGGGGTTCAATCCATGAAACAATATCTATCTTGTTAATAATTTTATACGCTTGTATCAGATCTCTTCTAATTCGATGTGTTTCTAAAGAAGCTGAATTTAGTAGACTCAAACAATCTTTGTATGTTAATCGATGGTACAATAGTATTAAGGCATGCAACCCAATGGACGGGTTGCACGCATTTGCACTTTCTCAATTTGTCAATCATCTAGAATTTGCTACTTCTGCAAATTCTAGATGAGCGCGTACAAATGCTGTGTATAGAATTTTAAGAAGTTGTGGAGTTATGCGGCTGAAAGTACAATGCTACATACCTAGAACATGGTTGGCTTTGTAATGCCAATTCATTGAATTCAAATCTGCTGTGATCATGATGACCAGATTTCGTTCAATTATAATTGATGCAAGATCAACGCTATTGTTGTTATTAGCTGGCATTGAGTAGGCATAAAGGTCGTTTATTTTACCTATGTACACAATTTTATATTTGTTGATATTGAGTTTCATATGCCAGATTTTACACCACTTGACTATGTTGTTGATATCACTTTGGAGTTTTTATTAGGCTAATGTGTGGTCTAAACTGATGTAAAAACAATTTTATCTAATTCAGGAAATTTCCAGCAAAACCATATGCCGCAAGTTTGTGAATTAGTAGCTTGTGTGGAACCATATCGAATGCTACATACATTGATACTTTGTCAGATAATGCTTTTGACATCATGTCAATTGACTCCAATAAATTAACCATACACACTTTTTTACTAATAAAGCCATGTTGATTTTTTTAATGTCATCCTCGACTAAATGATTGACCATAATGTCATGTATTATTTTCTCCATCACTTTACCTACAATTGATATTAAAGATATAGGCTGGTATTTTCCTGGGTCGTGTCTGCTTCCTATTTTGAACTGTGGTGTTATATTAGCTTTTTTTATATTTTATGACAACACTCACTACATAGCAAAAAAATTCTAAAAAATTGTGCTTAACAGTATTGAGAAGTTGTCAGAACAGTTCTTTTGTACATATACGCTTACATATAAATACTGTTTTACATATAAAAATACTATTATGCATTATATCATCGTTTGACAAAAATTATTAATTGTACTTCTATATATTATTATATAAGTTCACTAATTTATATTCTTCTTTGTAAATAGATTTTAACTGATGAATTAGATAGAGTTCGCATGACTGTCTAAGTTTCTTGATTGCTTTTATAAACTTCATATTAGTAATAAAAATATTTATTAAAAATTTAAATAAATATAAAATATTTTATGATATTACTAGCGATATTTGAAATATGATATTATTGGTGGTTTTTGTGTAATGATAATTTACATTGAAATAAAATAAGATACAAAGAAAAAAAATATTTGTAAAAAAAGAAACGTGCAAAAATTGTCAAAGTCAAAGCAGAAGGGAACTTCAATGTGCATAGCGTAGAAAGCTGTGAAACCTTCTAGATAAGGTCATAAAAGTATTTAGTCAAAATATTAAGGGGAGTCACAGGAAATGTTTAGAAATAATTAGCAATTAATAAATGAATTTAAATCAAATTTTATATGCAAGACTTAAAAAATGGTGTTGAATAATTTTTTGTTTTAATTAACAAAAAATTTATTTTAAAACATTAAAATTTCTAGTTCAAAATATGATAAAGAACTTAAAGTTTTTGAATAGAAAAAAACTTTTACGAAAAGTTAATTTTTTTTGCAATTTAGTCTAAACAATTATTAATATGAAAATAAATAAACTTGTAGTAGATGTAAAAAAGTTTTTTTAATTGCTTTTATTAGAATCTAATTTCTTTAAAAATATTTTAATTTTTTAATTTAGAAGCTTTTATAAGAATTTCTTTAAAAATATATACTTTAATTTTTTAATTTAGAAGCTTTTATTAGAATTTCTTTAAAAATATTTTAATTTTTTAATTTAGAAGCTTTTATTAGAATTTCTTTAAAAATATTTTAATTTTTTAATTTAGAAGCTTTTATTAGAATTTCTTTAAAAATACTTTAATTTTTAAATTTAGAAGCTTTTATTAGAATTTCTTTAAAAATACTTTAATTTTTTAATTTAGAAGCTTTTATTAGAATTTCTTTAAAAATATTTTAATTTTTTAATTTAGAAGCTTTTATTAGAATTTCTTTAAAAATATACTTTAATTTTTTAATTTAGAAGCTTTTATTAGAATTTCTTTAAAAATATATACTTTAATTTTTTAATTTAGAAGCTTTTATTAGAATTTCTTTAAAAATATATACTTTAATTTTTTAATTTAGAAGCTTTTATTAGAATTTCTTTAAAAATACTTTAATTTTTTAATTTAGAAGCTTTTATTAGAATTTCTTTAAAAATATTTTAATTTTTTAATTTAGAAGCTTTTATTAGAATTTCTTTAAAAATATACTTTAATTTTTTAATTTAGAAGCTTTTATTAGAATTTCTTTAAAAATATATACTTTAATTTTTTAATTTAGAAGCTTTTATTAGAATTTCTTTAAAAATATATACTTTAATTTTTTAATTTAGAAGCTTTTATTAGAATTTCTTTAAAAATACTTTAATTTTTTAATTTAGAAGCTTTTATTAGAATTTCTTTAAAAATATACTTTAATTTTTTAATTTAGAAGCTTTTATTAGAATTTCTTTAAAAATATACTTTAATTTTTTAATTTAGAAAATCTTCCTAAGAATGTAAGAGAAAATGTATACCCAAATTATTTTAATATGTATGAACATCAGTTACTTCAACCAAAATGTCAACTAAAGAAAATGCATGTTAACCAAACTGAAATAAAATTTTCACCAAATTCTTCTAAGAATGTATCAGAAAATATATACCCAAAGGTTTCCAAAAAAAAAAAAAAAAAAATTTATTCCAAAAAAACAACAACATTAGTTAACCAAACTGATATAAAAGCTCCTCCAAATTCTTCTAAGAATGTATCAGAAAATTCTTCTGAGATTGTATCAGAAAATGTATACCCAAAGGTTTCCAATATACAACAACCTTATTTGCAACCTCAACCAGAATTTCAACTTAGAAAAACATTAGTCAACCAAACTGATATAAAAGCTCCTCCAAATTCTTCTAAGATGGTATCAGAAAATTCTTCCAAGAATGTATCAGAAAATGTATACCCAAAGGTTTCCAATATACAACAAGAATTTCAACTTAAGAAAACATTAGGTGACCAAACCGATATAAAAGCTCCACCAAATTTTTCCAAGAATGTATCAGAAAATGTATACCCAAAGGTTTCCAATATACAACAAGAATTTCAACTTAAGAAAACATTAGGTGACCAAACCGATATAAAAGCTCCACCAAATTTTTCCAAGAATGTATCAGAAAATGTAAACCCAAAAGTTTCCAATATACAACAACCTTGTTTGCAACCTCAACCAGAATTTCAACTTAGAAAAACATTAGTTAACCAAACTGATATAAAAGCTCCTTCAAATTCTTCTAAGATGGTATCAGAAAATTCTTCCAAGAATGTATCAGAAAATATATACCCAAAGGTTTCCAATATACAACAACCTTATTTGCAACCTCAGCCAGAATTTCAACTTAAAAAAACATTAGTTAACCAAACTGATATAAAAGCTCCTCCAAATTCTTCTAAGAATGTACCAGAAAATTCTTCTAAGATTGTATCAGAAAATTCTTCTAAGATTGTATCAGAAAATGTATACCCAAAGGTTTCCAATATACAACAACCTTATTTGCAACCTCAACCAGAATTTCAACTTAGAAAAACATTAGTCAACCAAACTGATATAAAAGCTCCTCCGAATTCTTCTAAGATGGTATCAGAAAATTCTTCCAAGAATGTATCAGAAAATGTATACCCAAAGGTTTCCAATATACAACAACCTTATTTGCAACCTCAACCAGAATTTCAACTTAGAAAAACATTAGTCAACCAAACTGATATAAAAGCTCCTCCAAATTCTTCTAAGATGGTATCAGAAAATTCTTCCAAGAATGTATCAGAAAATGTATACCCAAAGGTTTCCAATATACAACAACCTTATTTGCAACCTCAGCCAGAATTTCAACTTAGAAAAACATTAGTTAACCAAACTGATATAAAAGCTCCTCCAAATTCTTCTAAGAATGTACCAGAAAATTCTTCTAAGATTGTATCAGAAAATTCTTCTAAGATTGTATCAGAAAATTCTTCTAAGATTGTATCAGAAAATGTATACCCAAAGGTTTCCAATATACAACAACCTTATTTGCAACCTCAACCAGAATTTCAACTTAGAAAAACATTAGTCAACCAAACTGATATAAAAGCTCCTCCAAATTCTTCTAAGATGGTATCAGAAAATTCTTCCAAGAATGTATCAGAAAATATATACCCAAAGGTTTCCAATATACAACAACCTTATTTGCAACCTCAGCCAGAATTTCAACTTAGAAAAACATTAGTTAACCAAACTGATATAAAAGCTCCTCCAAATTCTTCTAAGAATGTACCAGAAAATTCTTCTAAGATTGGATCAGAAAATGTATACCCAAAGGTTTCCAATATACAACAACCTTATTTGCAACCTCAACCAGAATTTCAACTTAGAAAAACATTAGTTAACCAAACTGATATAAAAGCTCCTCCAAATTCTTCTAAGAATGTATCAGAAAATTCTTCTAAGATTCTATCAGAAAATATATACCCAAAGGTTTCCAATATACAACAACCTTATTTGCAACCTCAACCAGAATTTCAACTTAAAAAAACATTAGTTAACCAAACTGATATAAAAGCTCCTCCAAATTCTTCTAAGAATGTACCAGAAAATTCTTCTAAGATTGTATCAGAAAATTCTTCTAAGATTGTATCAGAAAATGTATACCCAAAGGTTTCCAATATACAACAACTATATTTGCAACCTCAACCAGAATTTCAACTTAGAAAAACATTAGTCAACCAAACTGATATAAAAGCTCCTCCGAATTCTTCTAAGATGGTATCAGAAAATTCTTCCAAGAATGTATCAGAAAATATATACCCAAAGGTTTCCAATATACAACAACCTTATTTGCAACCTCAGCCAGAATTTCAACTTAGAAAAACATTAGTTAACCAAACTGATATAAAAGCTCCTTCAAATTCTTCTAAGAATGTACCAGAAAATTCTTCTAAGATTGTATCAAAAAATTCTTCTAAGATTGGATCAGAAAATGTATACCCAAAGGTTTCCAATATACAACAACCTTATTTGCAACCTCAACCAGAATTTCAACTTAGAAAAACATTAGTTAACCAAACTGATATAAAAGCTCCTCCAAATTCTTCTAAGAATGTATCAGAAAATTCTTCTAAGATTCTATCAGAAAATATATACCCAAAGGTTTTTAATATACAACAACCTTATTTGCAACCTCAACCAGAATTTCAACTTAAGAAAACATTAGGTGACCAAACCGATATAAAAGCTCCTCCAAATTTTTCCAAGAATGTATCAGAAAATGTATACCCAAAGGTTTCCAATATACAACAACCTTATTTGCAACCTCAACCAGAATTTCATCTTAAGAAAGCACAAGTCAAATCAGAATCAGAATTAGAACTTCGGCTTAAAAAAACACAGGTTAACCAAACCGAGAAAAAATTTCAACCAAATTCTTTTAACAATGTGACAGAAAATATACACCAAAACATTTATAATATGCAACAATCATTTAATAATCAGCAAACAGTTACTTGTAATTCTGAAAAAGGATATCAAAATATGTCGAATGATAAAGTTTCAAAATTATGTCTTAAAAATTCTAACTTGAATATTGACCAAAAAGAATTAGTAATTCAAAAAGATGAAACAAAAACTGAGGATAACATTCTAAATAATTTCATGAAAAAAGAACCAGTAAAAATCAGTTCAGAGAAGTTGAATGTTTCCAATGCTGAAAGATACCGCATAGTTGACTCAATCAATAAAAAAGAAAATATGGATACTCATCTAATTCAGGTTAATTCAACTTTAAGTAAAACTTATAATTTTTCTCAAATTTTGTTTAGTTTTGTTTACTGGTTAATAAAGAGCAAATTATTTTTTATATTATTTGATAATACTTTTATTTATGTATTTATGTAGTTTTTAAATTGATGAAGTGCAATCAAATTTATGAAGCAGTAAATATTAAGTTTTATATAATTATACATATGCCTAAAATTTGACCCCCTCCCCTCTGCTGCTATGCATACTTTTAAATGTATGCATATGCGGTAGTAGTGTAGTGGTAAAACACTCGCTTCATAAGCAAGAGGTTCCGAGTTCAATCCCCACCACGTCCCTGGTAGTACCGCGCTCAACTTGTTTCCCCGCGCAGCGGCCTTGTTCGTCAAGGTTCGTGTTTCGGAGTTATAGAGTTGAGAGAGGGTTATAATCACTTTTAAGTAGCCTCCTCGTCTGTAGTGGCCTTCTCGGCCTTGAGAAGGTGAATAACAAAAAAAAAAAACAAAAAAAAAAAATATCCAACCCCCTTTCCCTCCAAAATTGTGTAATTTTTGGAGGGAAAGTTGCATTTCTTTTGCATCTCTCAAAGGTTGGAGATTTTTGTAACTTTTGAGATACCCCATTTTCTTTAATTCAAAAAAATCTTTTAATAATTAGCAGAAATGCTACTAAAGTAAACAGAAAAGCTAATACAAAAATATTAAATTGATCAAATAAAAATCAGCATTTATTTGGTTGAAAAATTTTCAAAGCTTCTAAAGTAATAAAAGTTTTCAAAAACTTCAAAAAAAAATTTAAAAAAACATTTATAATAAACACCATAGCAAAAAATAAAAATAAAAAATAAACCAAAAGGTAAAAATTTAAAACAAAAGTATAAAAATTTTACAAAAAATAGCACTAAAGCACATATTGTTGAAAGTTGAGAAAGACTTTGTGGTCTTTCTCAAACAAAAAAAATGTATATATTTTGTTTGATATATATATATATATATATATATATATATATATATATATATATATATATATATATATATAAGGATATTTCATAATTCCCATATGATAATTAGTGGAGGTTTTGTGTACAAATAACAAATAAGTTAGTATTTTTCTTTTTGCTTAAAAAAAGTTCACCCTCCAAATGAGAAAATGATGCGTCTAAGATATAACATGTAACATGTATTTTACAATGCATTTCCGATAAATAGATATACCAGTATTTTTCTAATGTTTATTTCTTAAAAGAAATCTAACATTCAACTTTTCAGTCGATCTGCAGAGTGGAAGCAGGTCTTACATTACTTTAATGGCACACTCGGCACAGATATTTGAACGTTGGGTTGCTATAGGCATAGGCTCCACTGACCAAAACTTCCTCAATGAGTGCAAAGCCTAAGGATACTCTTTACAAGCTTCTGACAAATTATCAAAGTTAGCAAGATTGAAGAACTGAGAAGAGAACCAGACTTTTGACCATGAACCACAGATGAAATCACATGCCACTTTTACTATTTGTCTAAACTCTGGCATCAGGATGAAACTAAGTAAAACATAAATTGCTTTTGAGTTCCATCTTGCATTACTGATAGATGGAAGTGATCGGAAATGCACTTTTGGGAAACTTACTGTACTTTTGAAATACTTGTAGCATGATACTAAGTGATCAAGAAAGGACATGTCATCTCGCCAGCGATCCTGTTCTACTTTCTTTTGTTCTTTTCCTGTATTATCAAATGTTTTCTTCAATTGTTCATAGTGTCCTTTTATTTGTGAAATAAAGAAATAACAGATGCTTGGTGAATTTCTTTTTTCCTCCAAAATGATCATTCATGACGTGTTTCAATATCGTATCCAGAATATAGTGTTGACAACCAATAAACACAGGTTTTTCTAATCCAATATCTTCAAAGTGCTTTTGCAACAGTGTGACAGCTCCCAGATTATTTCCAGTTTTCGTTGCAGTTGTATCAGAAACAATCATTTTTATTGAGGGCCATAGTTCATATTCGTCAAGCACAGTTTTTATTCCATTGAATATTGTCTCACCTTTTCCATTTGTCAATTAAAAGACAGCAAGTCTGACTTCCCTAGTTTCATTTTTCAAAACAACTACCTGATATTCCTTTTGCATATTCTTAGCATCAAAGTGTAAACACCAGTGTTCATTTTTTAAATTTTCCTTGAAATTTCTTTTTAGCTTTTCTCCTTCTTTTATTACTGCTTTGTAGATGCCACTCTGAGTTGGAATAGGTATGGAAACTCCGCTTTTGGACTAAGTTTCACATACTTTGTGGACCTTCATTGTACTCAGTTTTGTTGCAGTTACCAAATGTACTGCAGAATCAGTTCTTTGCCTTTTACTTGAAGAAGGTTTCGCATAATCTTCATTGCTACTATAACTTTGTTCTTCACTCATGGAATTTTCTGTTTCTGTAACTGTTTCCAAATATTCTTTGCTACTTTCTTCAATAAACTTTTGTATGACTGACACTCTTCTTTTAAGCAACTTTACTTTTTTTGGATGTATCCCCCGTGTGTCTTCTTTTGTGGTGCAATATCCTACTTTCTCTTTTGTTGAAACCTGCCGTTCATAAAATTCCTTGTCTTCTCTGCACAACCGATCTCCTTTCTCGTCTGTTACATTAAACAGTTTACTTAAGTCATTTTTTCCTGGTCTTCGAGCATGCTTTTCATAAGTTTTTATTACATTCTCAACTTTTCGTGCAACCGTAGATCTACCTTGTTGAATTGGCAGATTCAAATTATTCCATAGGCCTTTCACTTCATCTGCTATCATTACAATTCGCTCTTTTCTACATTTTACATCAGAAGCCAGAGTTTTAAATATGAAGATATTCTGCTCCATTGGAATTCTTCGCATCTGATCAAGACTGTCAATGGTAGTATACTTTCTTGACTTTTGAAATTGCATTAGATTTGAAGACCAAATCTCCTTATTCTGCTCTGAAAGAGGCGTGTTTTTAGACATTGCAGTTCCAAAGTTGTAATTCTCCAGATAGTAAACAATCAGTTAAATGCTGTGTTGGTGCCAGAAGAAACAGATTATTGGAATCTAAATATTAGATTACTAATAAATATGAAATTTTTTAGATAAAAAATAGTTATAAGAACTTAGAGTATTATACATAACAAGATCTTGTAACAATCATGTTCAGTAAATAGAGAGCTACAAACAATTTAAATGTTAGAAGGTTACCCTCTAAACAGGCTTTATTTACTTGTAGTAAATGTAGTTATTTGTCTTTATAGAACATGAAATTGCATTATTTCTAATTATATTGAATTATTAAATTAACAAATGTTACAAAGCTCAGCATTTAGATAAGGCAGCCTATGTGTAAAATTAAAATCAGTTTAGAGGGTGACTTTTTTTCAAGGTTCAAATTTTTTAATGTTATATTCTTGAAAGAAATGATAAATGTCCACTCATAACAATAGGGGCAATAAAAAATTCTAAATCTTTTTTTCTGGTCATATACCTAATATATATATATATATATATATATATATATATATATATATATATATATATATATATATATATATATATATATATATATATATATATATATATATATATATATATATATATATATATATTTATCTATATATATGTATCTATATATATATATATATATATATATATATATATATATATATATATATTTATCTATATATATGTATCTATATATATATAAGTATATATATACATGTATATATACATATATTTACAAATAGTGTTGCGTACTAAGGTAAGCAATTTGACATCATACTGAAATAGCCTGCTGCTATGGGCTTCAGTGCATACATTGACTGACAAATAGCCTGACTTGCAGTGGAGTGCTGCTACATCGACTGAGGGTTTGGGATGTGGCAGCAATTGTTTCATTCATCATTCTTTGTTTTTTTTCTTCTTTTTCTAAAAAAATATGGGTTATGTATGTAAAAATATGGGTTATGGTAAGCAAAAAAAGTGAGCAAATGCTTATAAAAATATGCTTTAGTAAGTGTATATATATATATATATATATTTATTTATTTATATATATATATTTTATACTTATATGTATATATATATATTTTATATTTATATGCATATATACATATAAATACAAATGTGTATATATATATATGTATATATATATATATATATATATATGTATATATATATATATATATATATATATGTATATATATATATATATATACGTATATGTATATATATATATATATATATGTATATATATATATATATGAATATATATATATATATACATATAAATACAAATATATATACATACATGTGTATAAATATATTATATATATATATATATATATATAATATATTTATACACATGTATGTATATACATTTGTATTTATATGTATATATATATATATTCATATATATATATATATATACACATATAAATACAAATGTATATACATACATGTGTATAAATATATTATATATATATATGTATATATATATATATATATATATATATATATATATATATATATATATATATATATATATATATATATATATATATATATATATATATATATATATATATATATATATATATATATATATGTTACGCACAGATTGTGAAATCGCGATTTCATGAACTGCAATTTTTTGTACAGTAAATGTGTGTATATATATATATATATATATATATATATATATATATATATATTATATATATATATATATATATATATATATATATATATATATATATATATATATATATATATATATATATATATATATATATATATATATGGCATAGGAAGGTTTTTAAATGTTTGAAATAATCCACTTAGCAGTGGCTTGTTAGTTTTAACTCCAACAAAACTCTTTTGTTTACTGCAATCAACTATTGCAATACTGTCAACACTCCTCTATTAATGAATGGCAACCCTCTCACTGAGTCCTCTTCTTTACGTCTTCTCGGATTATTTTTTACTGCTGGCTTTTCAT